TATTTTAAAAATGAAATTGCGTTAAACTAGAAAAAGTTGCTTGCAATTTAATAGTAGTATAAAGATACGCAATGAAACGAATGTATTTAGATAATTTCACGATCGAGGAAAATAAATTTCTCATCCTAAATAAAATCAATAATCCACCACCACTTAATTAGAATGATTCAAATATTGGTCGAAAAACTTTTTAATCATTTGATACTATGATTTAATTTTTTCAAAAACACTTTTTAAAATCATTTGACTACTACATATTTATTGCAAACGCACACTCTCCATTAGTAATGGCGTGATCACCCTTAGACCTCTTTTATTAAGCATCTACCCAGTTCTTTCCTATTGTATTTACTTGGACACACGAACTTGGGAGAAAACATAATTTATTCCAACATAAGAAAAAGGAATTCCAAAGCACTTTATAAAATTTTGTATTTAATATCTCGCACTAATTTTTAAAAAACCAAACACATTACGATTGCAGATTATTAACTATTTTTACCCATGCTTCTGTGTAATTCTAACACCATGATCATGATAAAACTTGCATTTTTGAGTCATCAATTAACACTAACAAGGTAAAAATCATAAAAAAAGAGCAGAAACGAATAAGAAATTTTCATATTGAATTGAATGAATTAAAAGAAAATCAAATTTTACATATTAACTAAGAATACAGAGAAAAATACAGAGTTGACCCCCAAAAAAAAAAAAAAACCTAACGTGTTAGAATCTGCAACCACAACAAAGAAAGAAGAAAGCAAGCTTAGAGACCAAAAATATTGCTTCGATTACAGACATGATTCTGAATCTCAAGCTTTCGAAAAACGTCATCTTCAGATTCAATCTCTTCCATTTTAGCCCTCCAAGTCCTAAAAACTTCAATCTCGTCCTTTCCTTCGTCGTCTTCCATATCGAAAATCTCCCTTTTCTCATCATCTTCTAAATTTTCAGCAGCTCCTTGAAAATGGATCAATCGAAACAAGACGAGAATTAGGTTTTATGTTTTTTGTTCTGTTTCAGGTGTGTGTAAGTCTTCGGAGACGAACATTTAGTTTTTTTATACAAGCCTAGGTCAACGGTATTTTGGTCATTTTAATAGTTGATTAGAGAATATAGAAGCGCGTTTTCAATTTCCAATGATCAACGTAGGTGTTCTGACGTGAGAGCAGTCTGTTTCTTTTCCAAAGAATTTTATCTACTCCTATATTTAGATATACTCTTATCATTATATAAAAATGAAATTATTCAAAATTTGGGAACAACTGAAAAGCCCACCACGGTGAGTTTGAGGCCCAAAACAGAGCTTTAACCAAACTGGAATCAGAAAATATAATGCAAAATCCAAACAAAACTCTAGAAGGAGATTATTTCATTCAGGTGCGATAAGTCACATTGCTGCAGATTTCTAATGATAACTAGGCGATATGTCTCTCAAACTGTGACTTATAGAATGACGCCTCGTGAAGAGTACATAGTTATTTTTTCTATACTGTGGTACACATTATGACATGAGGAACTATATATAATTATTCACAATAATATATGAAATGTGAAAACAATTTGTAAGATGGCACACACTATATTATATAGAAAAAAAAAATTCAAGTATCACGCGCTATATTATTTAGAAATATATTTTTTCTCAGTACACGTGCTGTAATATATAGAAAATAATCTATTTAAAAAAAAGATAAAATCAAAGAATGAAAAAATAGTTGCAGTTTATTCGCATGTTGGCACGCGTTTGTTTTCCTTTAAGATACACATTAGTCGTATGTATCTTACTCATTTATATAGAAATAATATACGGAAAATGCGTGATTTTTTTAGAATACCTAACAAAACTAATGTGACAAAAGAAAATTCAAATAGTCTCATGAACTTGTTGTAGACTAATTTAGATACACGCAATTAAAGAAAATTTCTTTGCGAACTATTTACACATATTTCAATTGTTGTAAGATACATTTATCGTTTTTGTTAGGGATTTTTTGATTTAAAATAAACTCATCAAATTTTAATATTTATTACTATTAGTAGTGGTAAATATTTGTTTTAAAAAGTTGTGGTTTTAGCAAAAGTATACACAAAAGGTAACATATCAGCCTTTTGTGGAAGAATAACCTCAACATGGAAACACATACTCAGTGCATTTCACCTACTTGACAGTGGACACAATTCATCTATAAATTGAGCATCAAGTATCAATAACGAAGAGCAAAGAAAAATTAGACAAAAGTCTTTCACTCTTCTTCTAGTACCAAACAAAACAAAAGGAGAGAAATGGTTCTTACAGAAGCTGAGACTCTCAAGCTAAGAGCTGAATGCAATCGTGTCAAAGAAACATGCGATGTAGATGAAAAGCAAGCGAAGGTGAGTTTTCATTTTTAACAATCTTATAACTGTATATTGTTTTCGTTTTTTTATTTATTTGGTGAACAAAATGTTAATTAGATTTTTGTAAAATTTAGGAGTTGGAAAAGAAGATGACAGAGCTTGCTGAAAAAAGCAAAGTTGTGGATAGATTAGTTGCCGCTATGCTCAAATTGGCAAACAATTCTATTGTGAAGGAAGAGGTGGTTTTTTCATCTCAATCAATGGTCTCGGATGACAAAGAAAATAACAAATAGTTTATTTCTTTTCTTCAGAGAGCTATTATGGAATAACTATTTTGGATTTTGTTGTAATAATGAAAAGATGTCATGTCGTTTATCTTTCTTTTCGAAATATGCAGGATTTTCATAATTAATCAACAAGTCTTTTTTATAATAATTTTGGGTTCTCTGTCGGATTCTCCTGCTATCTAGCTCTCTGTGGTGAACAACTCCAATTTTCAGCAGAATTTTGAGTTTCTTTCTTTTCCAAAATGGGATATAGGGTTTCCGAATTCATTCTCCCTAATGACTTTTAAGTTCTTTGTTTGTTTGAGTTTTTCGTGAAAATGGAGAAATACGGTCGTTTCATAGGATATATTAAACGGTAAGTTTTGTCATCCGTTAGTCATATAACACCATTAACATCTAAGGGTTAATTTACAAATCTAAACTATACGTGTAATAAATAAACCATAATACGAAAAATGCCATACACTGATTTTACAAATTAAAAAAAAAAACAAACCATATGGCCCATCGACCTTTCGAGGATATTCTTTTTCATACCCGCCCCAACTTCGGGGCCATGAAAAATATTGGCTCATTGCTTGGTATTACTCTAAAAATCGACATTTTAGCGTAACTTTCTTTATCACACAAGACTTTTTAAAATTAATATATATTTCACTTGTTAGTATTTACATGTGATTTATAACCCCGCGTATTTGTTAAACTTAAAATCAACTCAAACCTCACATGCGTTCTTAACATACTCATGCGAAAATGTCTGACGAGTAAGTTTTTTTTTGGGGTCATATCTCACTAGTAAGTCTTTCTTAAGAAAACTATGTAAAACTAATTCAATGTTCAAGAAAGTGTTAGACGCTAACGCCTAGTGTCTAGAACGCTTAATCGGAGCTCATGCGGATTTTCTAGACAGTTTAAGCGTTTTACAAAAAATTAAAAAAAGTTCATGATTTATAACTAAGAAAATTCATATTATATTTATTATCATCATTTTATAGCACAATATAGTAAATATCATGATTTATAAATAATAAAATTTTTATTTTTTATTATAATACGCTTATGCCGTAATCTTCACAATCTATAAGGGTCTAGCGCCGCCTAGACGCACGTCTAGAACGTTTTTTAGAACCCTGAATTAGTATAACCAAATTACTTTTTTCTTCTTTATCAAAAAAAAAAAATTATCATCCTATAGGTGTGGATTACATCAGGTCTGAAAATAACTAACTAAGTACTCTGCCAATACTTTGACTTTAAACAGAGATTTTCCACAAAACTTTAAATTTAGTCCGTTGCAACAAATTACTATGGTCTTGAATTATTACTTGGGGTTTTTATAATTACCATGGTTTTGTATAATAACTTCAAACAAAAAGTAAATTTCAATATTAAATAAAAATGTGTTAAGAGTTTCATAATAAAAAAAAAATTGTGGTATTACTTATAATAAATAAATAAAAAGGATAAAAAGAGTAAAATCAATGACTTTTGAGATAGAACAACATCAAAATGGATGGACATTAGCTTTTAACCTATCTGACACTATACATGTATAAATGGAAGAAAACATTAACAAAAATGAAGCAGCAGCAAAGTAAAGAGAAATTTCGACAAAACTCTTTCGATAGTGTCAAGAAATGGATCCTACAATGGCTGAGAGTATTGCGCTTAAAGCCGAACTCGATCGTGTCAAGGAAGCAACAGAAGTGGATGAAGAGTATGTGAGGGTAAGTGTTCGTTTTAATTACCTTTTTTCTTGTTTTTCAATACGATAATTAGGTTTGTGTAAAATATAGGATTTGGAGGAGAGGGTGATTGAGTTCGTTACAAAAAACAGAAGGATTATAAGTATGCAATACATGGAAGAGCTTGCACATCTAAAAATGGTGAAATTAATCGACGCTCAGCTCAAACTAGTAAATGACCGTATCGCGGAGAAGAAGGAAGCTTCCTTATCTCAATCGATGCACTTGGGGGACAACGATAAGAAGAATTAGTAATATAGATGATGATAATCATCATTATATTATCATATATGGATCATATATGATCAAATTGTCGTTTATTTCTTCCTTCAAAACTTTTTTTTAGTGGAATAATTTGGGTTTTGACTTTATAATAATGGAAGATTGTCATGTCGTTTTTTCTCTCTCTTTTGTAATAGGATTCTCATAATCAAGTACTAAGTATTTCAAAATAGTATATTTCTCTCCTTGACTATGTTTCTATCCACCAGTCTGTTGAACAATCTCCATTAATTCTCAAAGCTTCTCTCTCTTTGGATTATGTTTTGGTTACTTCGATGACTTAGAACGTAAAACACGGTCACTGGAAAATGCTTATTAATCCAAAGTTGACATATAAAAGAAAAATCCAATATACTCTAAAAGTGAACTTATACATGCCATCTAATGAAATGTATTCATATATCTTATGCGGCATGTGTTATAAATTTATAATAATAGAAATATTATCTAAAACACATGCGTTATAATATATAGATTTTTTTTTTACAAACCGTGAGAGTTTCAAACCTTTGGCTCATAGTCTTCTCGGTATATGGAGTTGGCTTTTATATATTCCGATTTAAAGAATAACCCTTCGTACCAAATGCGGTTTGAACCCAGGACACAAAGGAACCATCCTCTTAGTTTATAGAAATATATTTTAGTACATGAAAAACACCAAAAATATATAGAAATAATCTATTGTTAAGAGAAAATATATTGTAAAGTGAAATTAGTTTCAAGTTTATCCGCATGTCGACACGCGTTTATTTTTCTTTATATATGTGTGTTTTAGATTGTATTTTACTAACTTACATATAGAAACAATATATTGAAATGCTATGCTCTTTGAGGGTGACCTTACAAAACCAATATGGGAAAATAAAATTTCAATGGTTTCATGTCCTTGATGTAGGCTAGTTTATACCCACATATTTCATTTTGAATTTTTGGTTGATATTCTATTCTTTTCATTATATTCATAAATTTAAATGTAATTTTTATAATTTTCATAAAGCATTAAGATTTTAGTCGACCAATACATGTAGTTTTGGTGGTTTGTGTTACTACTGTCATTGTGTTATAATTTGGGTTCAAATTTCTATAAACTGCATATACCAAAAGTTCTTAATTAAGAGATGTCACATGACCAAGCGCATCTTCCTAAAGACAATACAACCAACCGGAAGCTGAAAGAACACTTTATGCCAACTTTTGAATGAGCATAATCGCACATTTTGTAACATTTAAAAGAAACCTTTATTCATTATGAAAATACCATC